CTTTTAAAGCCAGCAGTCCCTGACCAATGGGGTAACTACCATCGAACGGGGTAATAAGGGCCGGGCAGAATATATTGGGACAGCTGTCCCACATTTTGTAGAACTTGTAGCAACTAAAGTTATCAAAATATATTAAAAATTAAAATAGTGGTGTAAAGTTCAACATTTTAACTATCTATGTAGCATAAAGTTAGTTAAGAAATCATACATTTACTACCTCTAAAAAACCCCTGAAAAAAGTATGAAAAGTGAGATTTTGGATAAGTACCTCTGCTAAGGTCTGTAGCAAAAAATATATATATTCGCTGTATTAAAAACTTTTACTTACATAAAAATTGCACACAGGAGTTGGCTTAAAAACCTGATCGACTGAATTTGTGTAGCTCAATCCAAAAAATGGCAGCCATTCCCACAAGATGGGGTTATAAGAACACCCCAAAAAACACATTTACAGTGGAACCTTGGTTAACAAAGGCTCCAGTTAACTAAAAAAATCAATCAAAAACAAAGAATTTTGTTTACATTTACCTTGCTCAGCAAAAAAATTTCATTTAACAAAAAATTAATGCATCATTGGTTGTCACAGAATTGTGCATATGTAGAATGTCACAGATAGAATTGTGCACCAGGCAACATAGAATGGAAAGTAATTAACCAAAACTATGATTTATTTCTCCAAAAAAATTATGGTTGTCATTAAAATATATATTCCTGTTTCATGTATATTTTAATGAACTTTTTTTTTATTGTGAATTCACTTAACACAATTAAATTGGTGCAAAATTACAGGCCATGTGGTAAAACAGGATCATTTAGTGATCCCGTCTTACCCCATGTCCGGTCCTTTTTTACCCCATTTTAGAATACATGTCAGGCAGCGATGGTGGCAGGTAGGAATGCCTAGTATGTCTAAAAAGTTGCCTATTACTTGAGGTTACCTGCCTACTTCCACAAAACTGGCCAAAAAATTTTTTGTCATTAGACAGAGCTTATTTTCCAAACAGGGTTAACTATTTTGTGACCCTTCTTTACATAGGTTTTCTTTAAAAATTGGTCAGAAATTCATTATTTGCAGAAGAGGGTTGCCACAAACACTGAAATGACAGGCAATGATTGTTCTAACATTTTCTTTTGTCAAATTGAATTCAGTGCAACTGCAATTAGAATGCACGCCATGGGCTGGCCCTTTCTTACCCCATACAGGCTGCAATCCTGTTTTATCCCATTTGACTATAAGTCATTTTATACGTCATTGATATCATTCTGGAACTAACATAATTAACTAAGGAATTTCCCAGTTCAAATCTTTAATGATTTATTTATATCAATTTCAAAACTCCACATATTTCTACAGGGAGTTGCGATTTGTGCATATTTTTGACTGTTGTATATTATGGACATTCTTTTCCAATGATGGCATGAATCATAAAGCTTGAAAGAGAAACCAAGGATGAAAGTCAGGGAAGCCTGGGCCCAGAAAGATGACTAGGCAACTGATGAAAGTAAGTTATTGTCATTTTTTCAATCATTGATGGCATTTTGCAAGTGCAATCAAGGGAAGTCAGTAAGCAGTTTTACAGTTCAATTCTTATTTTTTCATCAAAATCAATTTTGAAACTCTACTGGGGTCTAGGAGAGACCAAGCTGGGTTTAGACTGGGCTGAGTTTAGACCGCCGCAAGTTGCCAATTGCCGGAGTGCTCAACCAAAGGCGGAGTGCCACAAGTACAGGGTGCGCCACAGAAACTTACTTATTTGAAAGGTCAATAAAAACAAAAGTACTTCAGTTATTGTTTTAAATTTTTTTTTATTCAAGAAAACAGTATCCCAAATTTTTTTTCATACAGTTTTGAAAATTAAATCTCATAAATGACGGCCTCCATTGCGCATAAACTAATGAAGTCGCTTTTTTCATAATGGTTTCCACTCTGTGCAGCATATCAATCGGTATTTTGGCAATGACGTCGCAAATGTTGTTCTTGAGGTGTGCTATGGTCTGTGGTTGATCGACATAAACCAGAAATTTCAAATATCCCCATAAAAAGAAATCGCATGGAGTCAAACCTGGAGAGCGTGGCGGCCATTGGAGATCGCCTCTGAGAGAGATACAGACAGTAACTCGCTCACAGTTAAGTGGCTTCTGGTGAAACTCGCGTGGATTTACACCACACCAATAACGCATGTTTAGCTTGTTAACGCAGCCTGAAATGTGGAAGTGAGCCTCGCCACTGAAAAAAACAACTGCGTCTTCAGGCAGGTTGTCAACCAGCATTTTACATGCATTTTGAGGGGCAACAAAATTGCGTTCAGTTAATTCTTGCACAGTGCACTATAGCAAATTTATTTGAGAAACAAACTTGGGAACTTTCCCCTTCAGATGCACCCCCTCTCGTCCCACTACCCAACCAACTAACCGCACAGGAATTTTCTCAAATAAGTAAGTTTCTGTGGCGCACCCTGTACCTCCCATCGGACCCTTCCTAGAATTTCACTATGGCTCCATGTTGGCAGGCAGGATTTAAATTTTAGTACTTTTTTCTGAAATTTTGTGGCCCTAATGCATAGTGGCAAAGCTGCCCAAAGCAGAGAGTGTTTTAGACTTGCCCTCAAGTTCATTTTTGAGTCCCTTAAGTAGACCAGTAAAGTATCAGCACTATCAGGTATCCTGGATATCAGCCTTATCATTCATAAGAAATTGGTTTAAATCTTAGGTAAATGAGGAAGTTAAAAATTAACTGCTTCTAAAAAATCTCTGGTTTGTCACTATGCCCTAATGTGACAATTTTTTAATAAAATTGGAAATTTTGGAATCTTGCAGCCCAAGCAATTTGAAGCAAGCTTTTTTATTAACAATTAGATACTAGTATGGAATATATCTACTTGGCGAGCCGCGACTGAATTTTTCGAGCAGTGGTTTTATGGATTTACCAAGTTTTATCTGCAAGATATTTTTGGCGGAAACGGTAAAGCAATGCGGATTGCGGAAGTTGAAAATTTTATGAAATGACATGTTTGCAAAGTGCAAACCGCAATTTTTTAATCAAACAAAAATTTATGACATTCGAGCCGCGGGATTTCATACCTACTGAAATTATATGATATTAGAGCCGCGATATTTCAGACAAAAATAGGACTTTTCCAGACTAGATTAGATAGGAGGTAATTCATCTGGCAGAAATCTGGTGGTTCCGGAAATGGTGGGAAATCCCCAGGAATGCTCCTGTCAGTTGGCTACTTGCTAGTCAGTAGTCATGGCCCTAGACCTAGAGGTAGATGTTTTCCATGCTTGTCTGCAGAGGAATTAGGTTGTTACAGGCTTACAGCATTCCCAACTCCCAAGTGGTAAGCAAGCGCAAGCTGGAGGCATGTAAATTGGCTTCAAATTAGAGAAAAAGAAGTGATTATAAGACAATAGGCCTATATCAAAACCCCATTTTGCTGAGGCTTGAGAAGTTGAACCTAGGACAAGTCACAAGGGTTCAGATCTCAACTTCAGAACTTTAGGGAACTAAAAAACTTGACACTTCAGAGTTTGAATTTGGAATGGAGTTCACTTTGGAGTGTGGACGTGCCATGCCATCAAAACCTCTTTCATTGTCATTAACATGAATCAACAATAATTTGGGTAGCAATAATTGCTTGGTTGCATTGCAATAATTGCTAGGTTGAAACTTGAAAATAGGCTAATAGCTACTGCTGCTACTTCATTAATGAAGTTTAGAGTCATGAACGTCAACATACGGTACCTATATAATAGTGCTGCTCAGTGCTCACTGTGCTTAGAAACTCAGTAGTCAAAAGTTCAAAACTAAGCATTTTAAAAGTACTTTTTATTGAAGGTGTGGTAACCTAGCAAATGAATGAAAAAATGTTCTGATGAAGAGAAATTTGCTGCGGTAATTGTTAGAGTAATTCATATTGATGAAGATCGAAAAAATTATTAATAAAATTACAATTTTATTAATTACAAGAATATTTTCCCGAATTAAATTTTTCCCTCAAATTATTTGCCATGCCGCTGAAACAAATTTGGCAGACGTTTGTCGAAGAGCATGCGAAAACAAATTCGAGCGGCAGGAATTCAACAGTGAAACTTCGAGTAGATTTGTGTTCCTATGTCCGTAAGTTAGGCTAACTGCAATTTATTCTCATTAAGAATTCTGTGAAAATTACACAAATAAACGTAGATAATTCTAATGACAAAGAAATAATAAACTTACGAATAATTATGGGAATTGTTTTTATACTTGTCTTAGAATAATAAGTGAATTCTTTACGAGATACTGCTTGAATTCCTCAAACCGATCTATAGTAAAGAACATGAATCGCTCTGCGATGTCCAAAAAAATCATTTCCGGATTTCTTTTATTTGATAAATTTATCAAATTATAGTTACAGTCATCATTTCCATTTGTTTAATGAGCGGTTGCAAAATTTTGACACGAGGTACTAGCCAGCGTGTCAAAATGAAAATAATTGACTTTTAATTAGGCATTTATTGCATTTATCGTTAAAGCTGTTTGATGATAAAGTATGTTGAACCTCTGTCTGCCTTATGAAGCAAAAATTGGAACTCTGATGATTTTCTACAACTTAAAAGAAAGTCCAATCTTCTAGCGAAAAAAGGACCACGTGAAATTAGTCTGGCTAGAGTGTCTAAACAAAACTTGTCGTAAATTTTGAAAAATCGCCATTAGTTACTCATTACAGGGGGGACTAAATTACTATTGTTGATATTTACAAGTATATTCGGTGAATAGTTTAATTTAATGCTTCATTTTTTAATGAAGAGTTTTTTGGTTGCAAATATTATGTTCTGAGAGCGAATATAGGATGCTGGTGTAGATTTTCTTAATGATACATGCCACTTTCATTCAGAAATGATCTTTCTTTGTATTCAATCATCTCACATCACATTAAAACAATTATTTAATGTTCTATGTTGATTTTTATTATTGTTTTGCACGGCTGAAACTGTTGCCCCCAGACTCGGTTAACGAGACCTCTACGTTCTCGAGTTCCAACATTCTTCCGTTGGAAGCAGTGGGAGTAGGACATCGCCAAATTTTTCTTCGACTTCTAGGTTCTTTTCTACAGTGTAGTGTGACGACACTTGATAAGCAAAGATGTGCGAGGAAGAGCTCTTCAAGTATCAGTACAAGATGTACAACATTCTTAAAAGTTATATGGTGAGTATTTTGCCTTACTAACCTCTTTAAATAGATAGCGTACTTATTTCCCCACTGTCAAGACTAGTCATGTGTGTGCGGCGGAGTGATGTATCTCGGCAGTCGTTAGCGCTAAAAGGGCATTGATCTAATTCCAGTTGTTTAAAATAATTCATTTTCTATTTTTAGAGAAATGTTATGAACTCGGCTATCTTGGACAACTCATCCAGAATGAGCCCTGCGTTTGACCTGCTTCCGTTTAAACTTCTGAATGCATCATCATGATCATGTACGCGAATTACCTACTGCAAATGAATGTTTTTATAATCGCATTATCAAATGTCGCCTTAATGCCTTATTTAGTTATTGCTGTTTACTGTTTCAGATCATTTGAAATGAATTGACCGGAGTGATTTTTCTCGTTTTCTCGCTCTAACAATTTAATCGCAGTATTATCGCACCAAGGTTTTATAAGCTTAAGCTGGCTTCACGCTTCACAATTTCAGTGCATGTGCGATTGATTATTCCTTGTATCATTCTGGCGACGCAGCGTCGCAGCCACTGGTAAAATGTGCCACCATGAACACTATAAAAACGCATCTTATCCGCTCAATGACAATTTCTTAAATAGATTTATTTTCAAATTCCGGAACTGTGGAAAGTAGCCTGAAGTGGGTACTGTAAAAGTTTCCGAAAAATCTTCTTCCAATGATCGGAAATACTACCTTTATATTCGTTGTTTCATCGATTATAGTTTTACTTTGGCTGTGCACAATAGTTGATAAGAAATATATTGGACTCTGTAGAGTACTTTTTTCCTTTAAAAGTGTTTATTCCACATCAAGTTACTCATCTCTTAATTCAAAGTTCTGCTTGAATATTTTTACTTGAAAAATCCTTTTTTTTTACCCAAGTGAACCAGACACCAGTACGTAAGTTTTCCATCCTCACTGAATTGGTAGTCCATGCCATGTGCGTTATCGATGACGTCATATTACTCTTTGTTTTGGATGTTACGCGAGGCGTTTTCTTACCGAAACTTCTTGACGTGATAGCAAATATCAGGACTGCAATCGTGCGCATTCGAACTGTCTATTGCAAACGTTGGGTAGTTCAACCGTAGTTGCGACTGATTTTGATTATCGCGAATTTATTGAACCTATGTTTTGGATTTAGGTTTCTATATAACGAATTAGTGTACCATGGTTTCGTTAACATGGTATCGCGTTTGAAGTATCTATGCTTACTGTACGTCCTACTCAGCAGTTGTATCTATCATACAAAACTCAGAGGCTGTAAGCGTTCATTGTCCTTGTCAATAAAATAATGTGTTAAAAGCACGTGATGAAGTAATTTATTTTTTAAATAGACTGGACCGATGTAAATTTCTCATTGTAGATTTTTTTACATGTTATGTGCACTTCTTCCATTGTACGCCATGCCTCTGCCCGCCAACTGGTCAATGTCGCAGTTACCCTGTCAGCGTCTCCTTAATTACCCTGAAGTTGGAGGATATCTTTTCATCGCCCGAGAACATCATCTTATTATCGTTTTTATTTGCTTAAAAGCGTTGGTCTTAGTTATAGTAGGAATAGAAGATGAAGTAATTAATCTTGAGAGTTTTCCCGTCTCTGCGAAGAAAGTCTAATTCATTTCAACAGGCCATGTGCCTATTTCTTCAGTGCCGACTCTTCTATTCTATTAATTTAACTGTGATCTCTCGAGTCATAAATGCCTTGAGTTAAAATATCTTAAACATTCATGCAGCTTTAAACTTGTTACTAAATAATTCAACTGTAATTGATTACTTTAACTTCAATGCAGGTAATCGAAGTTTGCGATGCAGAGAATAACTTTGTGAGCTTGTAAAGCAAAAATTTTTTAGATGAGATCAAAATTACTTTTTCCTGCCTCTCTTTTATAAACATCGATAATATTTTGTGATGTTGTAACAATGAATAAAAGCTTTAATATTAAAACTTTTCAACGGAAATTGATGCTTGGATGCTAGGAAATTACCCTGAAGTTGTGCTCCGCGATCCAAGCCTGTTGCGAGCTGAGCTGCCAGATGTCGGCAGATGCAATGCGGCGGTCTGAGTAGATTCTTGCATGCCACAAAGCCTCTCAAGTTGAATTCAGATAACTTTGAAGGTGATCAATGTTTTCAAATGTCATATATTAGGCTATAAATATTGGTAGATAATACTTTTGGTAATTATATTCCAGTTATGTCGTCCAAGATTTCTCCTTGACCTGCTGTGTAAGCAGTGTAACCTTTCTTTATTCTCACTTAATAGGCCAAACTTTCCGGCGTTATGGAATAGTATTGATTTAAATTTAAGTAGCAATAAAAAATGATTTATATTCATGGAATAGCCGAAATTGAGCATGAATTATCCCCTTTACATGCTAGGGATGTTGTTAATAGTATCTAATTATCGTGAAGGCTGAGCAAGTAAAGCGCAACTCGTAGCTACGGCGCTGTCTCGTCCAATAACTGACCGGCAATTGTCGCAGTCTTCACAGCTCTGATTATACAAATAAAAATCCTTCTTGTAAACAGGAACATAGCTCATTATATTGCGGATGAAATCATTAAACTATTACATATGATTATGACCATAACAACATGAACGTGAAGCGTGAAACATGTTGTGTCCGAACTCAAAAGTATGCTTAGTCATGCAGCAACGTGGTGGAGGTTTAGGGCCTGCAGTCCGGCGCCGCATGAACTATGCTCCAAACTGATGGTATTTAAACTAAGTGAATAATGCATCGTTTTCATTGATTCATAATGATACTTGCCATCGTCCATCCAGTGGACGATGGTCCTGCTACTTACGATGGTAAGTAGCAGGCTCCCATGGAATGTTTCCTCGTACACGTCTACGTATTCATACGTACATACGAACCATGTAATGTACTGCAGTGAAATGAACGACATGTTGTGTTAACGGTTATGTTAGTGGAGGTGACAAGCACCGAGCCTAGCGTGCCTTGTGCTAGTGTTAGGTGCTAGTGATGCACTAACATGAGGCACTAGTGATGCAGTAACATGAGGCACTAGTGATGCACTAACATGGTGCACTAGTGATGCACTAACATGGTGCACTAGTGATGCACTAACATGATGCACTAGTGAGTCACTAACATATACCGTATGTCAACAGGTTGCGTGGGAGGAGCACCAGCGTCAGCCTCAGGTAAGTGCCAGCACCGCGTGCCCGCCTCGTGCCTGCTTGACGAGGCACTGCGAGACTGCGAGTTGCGCGCTTGTTGTTCATGCGTGAGTGAAGTCTTGCGCCGGGCGTAAGTTGTCGCGAAGTTTTGATGGTGACAGTTGTTAGTGTATCAATAGTGATCAGAGCGTTGATGGTGAGTGCGCTACCAGTGATCAGAGTGATAGTGATGGCATTAACAGTGATGATTGTGATAGTGATGGCATTAACAGTGATGAGTAGTGATGGTGATGTCATTAACAGTGATGAGTGTTGATTATGATGGCATTAACAGTGATGAGTGTGATGGTGATGGCATTAACAGTGATGAGTGTTGATAATGATGGCATTAACAGTGATGAGTGTTGATAATGATGGCATTAACAGTGATGAGTGTGATGGTGATGCCATTAACAGTGATGAGTGTTGATAATGATGGCATTAACAGTGATGAGTGTTGATAATGATGGCATTAACAGTGATGAATGTTGATGGTGCTGGCATTAACAGTGATGAGTGTTGATGGTGATGGCATTAACAGTGATGAGTGTTGATGGTGAAGGCATTAACAGTGATGAGTGTTGATGGTGAAGGCATTAACAGTGATCGCTGTTGCAGGATCGCTCCAAGATCCTGGAGCTGCGCAGTCTACTCAGCGGCCTGCGCTCCATAGACGCCCAGCAGGTAACTCAGACTCTTATGTTCTGCTGGACCTTACGCGACTACCTGACCTATTGTACCTGGTACATCATACTTTGTACCTGGTACATCATACTTCATCATACGGCAGCTCATACTTGGTACATCATACGGCAGCTCATACTTGTTTCAACTGGTTACCGGGGGTGTGGATGACCGTTGAACCTGTTACCGGGGCGTGCGGGTGACCGGTACAATGATATATCAATGATGCTTCAATCTGAATGATGTTAAGGTCTTAATGCTGTTGTCAATACGCTGCTTTACTCGTGCCCCGGTAATTAGCTGCGATGTCCCCTCTACAGAAGCAGCTGGTGCAGCAGCTACGATACAAGAGGTTATATGAGCGCCAGCAGGGGGACTGTCAGGCCTCCTCTCTCCCTACCTCCCCACAGGCCTCATCTCTCTGCTCCTCCCCCCAGGCCTCCTCCCCATGTTCCTCAGCCTCTACTGAACTCAGGTAACCAAGTGGGTGAGCTAGACTCTAAGACATAAGACTCTAGGTCGTGCAGCTATGGCGCCGTATGCCCACGGCCACCACTTACGTGTGCTCTAGGTATGCTTGGTCATATTGTATTTGGCTTAACAACTCACGTTGCCCATACACTCCGCAAAGAATTAACCTAACCAAAGCTCATTGACTGCAAAGTTTAAGAGGCGGAGTAAGTGAGCGTGCAAAGCCAATCATTGGCTGTTGAAAGTTTAAGAGGTGGAACAACGTGAATAGGTTAGGCCAGAGTAGGTGAAGCCTGATGCCGAACTGTCCGCTCATGATGCAGCATGCTTAAGTATTGACTGGCGCTATTATCTTCACCCAGTGTCACTGGTCTGGATTACGGTGCTCCAGCGCAGTCCACGGCTTCTATCGCCGTAACTGCCTGTAGTTATTGCACGCAGAGATTGGGCCTTGCTTCCAGAGCTTATTTGGCCAGTCTCAGTAGACTATCTCAATCGCCAGTCTCAGTGGACTGTCTCGGTATCCAGTCTAAGTGGACTGTCTCAGTCGCCAGTCTCAGTGGACTGTCTCAGTCGGCAGTCTCCTCCATCAGTCGTAGTCGCACTAACCATCACTTCTCTCCCCCAGAAACGCAAGAAGACAAGCTACCTGACATCAGTGGCGCCGCTGCTGCCCCCCTCGCGGGGGTGCAGTCCCCCTTCAAGGGGGGGCAGTGGGGGGGAGGGGTCCCGGCCCTCCACCCCTGAAGACCAGCCCCCCCACCAGCTGCTATTGCCGCCCCGCAACACCTGCGCTGCCTGTGCTACTAGTGGTGGGTGGTGGTGGCGGTGGGGGGTAGTGGTGGCTGTCTCTTATACACATCTAGATGTGTATAAGAGACAGCAATAATNACACTGTTGATGTGTTGCACATAATTGATTCACATAGTATGAATCCTCTTATGTTCGCCGACGACACACAAATTTATTGTTACTGTGTACCGGCTTACCCTGCAGCGTTGCAGGACCGTGTGTCTGTCTGCATGGACGCCGTCTCAGAATGGATGCGCTCCAACCGGCTCCAGCTCAATGCACCAAAAACTGACTTTATTTGTTTTGCGACTGCTCGGCGCCAGCATCAGCTTACTGCCAACCCTGTTCGCGTGAGCAACGAGTTTGTCATGCCTGCGTCTTCGGTTCGCAACCTTGGATTTTGCTGGACTCGGAACTTTCTATGAACTACACATTACTAAAGTCACCACCGCTTGCTTTGGCGCTCTGCGACGAATGCGTAGCGTCAGACGCTGTCTCTCGAGGCGCTCGTGGTGGCGCTCGTTCTGACCAGATTGGACTACGGTAGTGCTACACTCCATAGACTTCCCAACACGGAACTTAGTAAACTGAACGCTGCTACGCAACTCGTGTGCAATTAGCAAAAATTTTACCACGTGACACCGATATCACGCGATCCTCACCGGCTTCAGTTCAAGGTCGCTGTTCTGGCGTTCCGATGCCTTCACGGTCTGGCGCCTCCTTATCTTATGGAAGGTCTGCGGCGCGTGTTGGATCTGCCTCATAGAAGACGATTGCTCTCGTCATCAACAGCGGACCTCGCCGTACCATTTACACGTCTATCTACCGTCGGCGACAGAGCGTTCCCGGTCGCCGCCGCCAGAACCTGGAACCGTCTGCCGGCTTCCGTAACATTGGCTCCTTCGTTGCAGGTGTTTCGTCGACGGCTTTAAAGACGGAACTATTTCGTAGAGCCTATGAATCTAGTGCTTAGTCATTTTATTCATTCCCATCTTTTCTCGTGCCTGTTTATTTTTTACTTGTTATTAAACTTATGTGTGACGTGCCCTCGAAGTTCGTTTGAACCAGACGCCACGATAACTGCCTTGTAGAATAGTAATAATAACTGCATCGTGAATCAGCTGGCCCAACTGAGGGCTGCTTCTCGGTAGTTATGTTTGACTGTCACCCGGAGCCTTGTTAGCGGCGACGGCCTGCCTACAGGAGGCGCAACACTATAGCGTGGCCTGGGACTTCTACGTCCAAGATGGCTGTTAAGATTATAAAGATTATCGCTTGTGTTTGCCACCACACCATCAGCATCACCACTCACCTGCCATGTCTCGCCACAGAAGACATCAACGCCACATCAACGCGCCAGTGTGGCGGGTGTGGCGAGTGGTACCATCCTGGCTGTGGCTCCGTGCCCTCATCCGGTGTAACGGGAGCCGTTGCGAGTTTGTGGGGCGATGAGGAGTGGCTGTGTGGCGTGTGCCATGGCCGTGGCATCAGAGCCAGTGTGGCACATGATGCCCTGCTGCTCAGGAGCCTGCGCCTCGCCAACGGTAAGTGGCATCACACGTCATTGTGGCATTAGTGGCTATTGTGGCGGTCAGTTGCCTGGTCTGTCCGGCCTGAGACGGTGAGATCATTCCTTGTATGATATTAAGCTAGTACATATTTACGCAGTATACAATATTTACACGGTATATATTGTATAAGAGATTTTAATTGTATTATTGTGCCGTATTTGTATTAAAGAGCAGGATACCTGCCGTGTCGAGATACCGAGGTGTTGCGTAAACAAGAGTTTAAAAAAATTTTAAATGACATCCTTTTTTGGATTTTGTAAATTGAATTTCATGACACCAATAGAAATTTGAAGTTTCTTCCCGGCTAGAAAAAGGGAGTTAATGAATCTTTTTTTTTTGTGAATGAAGTGAATGAAGAATTAAATTTATATTATATATCCAGCTGAACCCCCCACCCCTCCTGTACATTGGTGCGGGCAGATGAATGTACATCAGGGAAGTGTGTCATGCAGCAATGACGTGCTGATTTGCAGAAAAACTAGTAACGTGTGCATGTAGTAACGTGTGCGTGTAGTAACGTGTGCGTGTAGTAACGTGTGCGTGTAGTAACGTGTGCGTGTAGTGACGTGTTGTCATGTGACAGAGCGACGTGTGCGTGATGGCAAGAGCGGCCACCGCAAGGCCGACGCCAGGGCGCGCAAGTCCGCCTCCGCTGCCGCCGCTCGTCGCCCTGCGGCGGCAGAGAAGAAAGCCACCGCCGTGGACGACGCCCCCCTGGACATCCCCCATGCTGCCCCCCAACCTGTCTCTTATACACATCTAGATGTGTATAAGAGACAGNTGCAGACATCGCGCTATTGATGTCTTGAAGACTTGATGCAGACATCGCGCTATTGATGTCTTGAAGACTTGATGCAGACATCGCGCTATTGATGTCTTGAAGACTTGATGCAGACATCGCGCTATTGATGTCTTGAAGACTTGATGCAGACATCGCGCTATTGATGTCTTGAAGACTTGATGCAGACATCGCGCTATTGATGTCTTGAAGACTTGATGCAGACATCGCGCTATTGATGTCTTGAAGACTTGATGCAGACATCGCGCTGTCCATGTCTGCAGAGCGCCAAGAAGACATCGCACGAAATATTATGTACCTATGCATCAACAGTTCACCTTCATTTAGTTGTCAAATGCAGATAATTTGAATTTGTTGCAATTGTGCATTATATCACCCGCCACCCTCACCTGTCACCTCTTACCCGTTTCCCGTCACCCGTCACCCCTCATCCGTCTCCCCTCACCTGTCATCATTTACCCTTCACCTGTCACCACCGCCGCCGTAACGGGTTATAGACCGTCTCATCCGTCACCCCACATCCGTCTCCCCTCACCGTCACCCCACATCCGTCACCCCACATCCGCCACCCCTCGCCGGTCATCTGTCACCTTTCACCCTCACACCTCACCCGTCGCCTCTTGCTTACCACCCGTAACCCTTCCCCCGTCACCCGTCACCTCGCCTGTCATCTCTCAGCTACAGCAAATGCCGGCGTTTCAGTTCAATAATTCTATTAAAAGTAATCAATTTAAATTAATTATCCATATCATAATTATTGTGTAATTCTTCTAACCTGATAAACTTGACGCTCCACACAGACTCTACTTGTATAATTCAAACAATTCTGATATTACTTCCCTAGTTACCAAGATGAGGAGAGTTTTGTTGCAGTGAGTTGCTGGAGTTGTGATGATAGAACATGATGATTAATGATGCTCACCATTCCGTGTAATTAATCTGTATTGAATAAACATGAATTTATTAGACGCGTGTTTTATCACCGCCCTCTCCCATGTTCACGTCACTCACCAGACGGCGCTCTATTAACGCATCGGTCTTGATGAGTATACACTATCAGGCGTNGTGCACTAGTGATGCACTAACATGATGCACTAGTGAGTCACTAACATATACCGTATGTCAACAGGTTGCGTGGGAGGAGCACCAGCGTCAGCCTCAGGTAAGTGCCAGCACCGCGTGCCCGCCTCGTGCCTGCATTACGAGGCACTGCGAGACTGCGAGTTGCGCGCTTGTTGTTCATGCGTGAGTGAAGTCTTGCGCCGGGCGTAAGTTGTCGCGAAGTTTTGATGGTGACAGTTGTTAGTGTATCAATAGTGATCAGAGCGTTGATGGTGAGTGCGCTACCAGTGATCAGAGTGATAGTGATGGCATTAACAGTGATGATTGTGATAGTGATGGCATTAACAGTGATGAGTAGTGATGGTGATGTCATTAACAGTGATGAGTGTTGATTATGATGGCATTAACAGTGATGAGTGTGATGGTGATGGCATTAACAGTGATGAGTGTTGATAATGATGGCATTAACAGTGATGAGTGTTGATAATGATGGCATTAACAGTGATGAGTGTGATGGTGATGCCATTAACAGTGATGAGTGTTGATAATGATGGCATTAACAGTGATGAGTGTTGATAATGATGGCATTAACAGTGATGAATGTTGATGGTGCTGGCATTAACAGTGATGAGTGTTGATGGTGATGGCATTAACAGTGATGAGTGTTGATGGTGAAGGCATTAACAGTGATGAGTGTTGATGGTGAAGGCATTAACAGTGATCGCTGTTGCAGGATCGCTCCAAGATCCTGGAGCTGCGCAGTCTACTCAGCGGCCTGCGCTCCATAGACGCCCAGCAGGTAACTCAGACTCTTATGTTCTGCTGGACCTTACGCGACTACCTGACCTATTGTACCTGGTACATCATACTTTGTACCTGGTACATCATACTTCATCATACGGCAGCTCATACTTGGTACATCATACGGCAGCTCATACTTGTTTCAACTGGTTACCGGGGGTGTGGATGACCGTTGAACCTGTTACCGGGGCGTGCGGGTGACCGGTACAATGATATATCAATGATGCTTCAATCTGAATGATGTTAAGGTCTTAATGCTGTTGTCAATACGCTGCTTTACTCGTGCCCCGGTAATTAGCTGCGATGTCCCCCCTACAGAAGCAGCTGGTGCAGCAGCTACGATACAAGAGGTTATATGAGCGCCAGCAGGGGGACTGTCAGGCCTCCTCTCTCCCTACCTCCCCACAGGCCTCATCTCTCTGCTCCTCCCCCCAGGCTTCTTCCCCATGTTCCTCAGCCTCTACTGAACTCAGGTATGAAGTTCACTAGTCACTAGTGATTACACTAGCTTGATGGTGTTCACTAGTGACCAGTTCACAAGTTTGTATAGAGCGCTGGTCGCTGGTAGGTTGTGTGCTCATCTAGCGGACGACAAATTGTAGTGCTCAACGTGAATGTGCACAACGTGAACGTGCTGAACATGAACATTGTAACACTGAAAATATATGTTGCTGAACATGATGTTACATGTCCTCGTCCCCTACAGGAACATCCTCGACCACGGCCCCGCCTCTCCCAGACTCTGCTCCTCTTCCCCACACTCCCCCGAGCTTGGGGAGTGTACTCCCCCCGCTGCTCACAAGCCCCGCAAGAGACGCCGCCCCTCCCCCCCGGGCTTCCTGGAGCCCGACAACCTCTACTTGTGGGACGCCGAGCTGCCCCAAGATGGGGAGATGGGGGAGGGGGCCGATTTCCCCCAGGATGGGGATGTGTGGGAGGGGACCACAGACACCACAGTGCAAGCCCCCGCAGGGGAGCAGGAGTCCCCCAGTGCTGGGGAGGACAGATGCGTGCCGGAGCAGCCGTGGGGCGTGGTCACCCAGGAGGAGTTCCTTCAAAACTTCGGTGACACTTCTTGATGAATTTATTAATTAGTTGATAATTGGGCTGTCGTATTTAGCAATTATCATATAGATCTATCGTATTTAGCAATTATCATATAGATCTATCGTATTCAGCAATTATCATATTGATCTATCATATTTAGCAATTACCATATCGAACTATCGTATTCACCAATTACCATATTGATCTATTTTCTGACCTATGTTATCAAACTCTTGTATTTCTGTTGTCATTTTCAACGTGTCGTGTCATTGCACTCATGAAGCACTAACAAGACACTAACGCTTGTGCTGCCGTGATACTGCTATTATTATTATTATTATTATTATTATTGGTATTAATAATATTAATATTATTAATAATATTAATATTAAGACACTAACGCTGGTGCTGCGTGTGCAGAGATGCTGTCAGCGCGCCACCTGCAGGAGGTGCTGCACAAGCGCGCCCTCCGTCAGCAGGCCAACGCCCGCCGCCTCTTCTTCGCCCCCAGCCCCGCCGACCGCCGTGACACCGTGAGTGGTGGGCGCCGTGAGTGGTGGGCGCCGTGAGTGGTGGGCGCCGTGAGTGGTGGGCGCCGTGAGTGGTGGGCGCCGTGAGTAGTGGGCGCCGTGAGTGGTGGGCGCCGTGAGTGNGGAGGCGCAACACTATAGCGTGGCCTGGGACTTCTACGTCCAAGATGGCTGTTAAGATTATAAAGATTATCGCTTGTGTTTGCCACCACACCATCAGCATCACCACTCACCTGCCATGTCTCGCCACAGAAGACATCAACGCCACATCAACGCGCCAGTGTGGCGGGTGTGGCGAGTGGTACCATCCTGGCTGTGGCTCCGTGCCCTCATCCGGTGTAACGGGAGCCGTAGCGAGTTTGTGGGGCGATGAGGAGTGGCTGTGTGGCGTGTGCCATGGCCGTGGCATCAGAGCCAGTGTGGCACATGATGCCCTGCTGCTCAGGAGCCTGCGCCTCGCCAACGGTAAGTGGCATCACACGTCATTGTGGCATTAGTGGCTATTGTGGCGGTCAGTTGCCTGGTCTGTCCGGCCTGAGACGGTGAGATCATTCCTTGTATGATATTAAGCTAGTACATATTTACGCAGTATACAATATTTACACGGTATATATTGTATAAGAGATTTTAATTGTATTATTGTGCCGTATTTGTATTAAAGAGCAGGATACCTGCCGTGTCGAGATACCGAGGTGTTGCGTAAACAAGAGTTTAAAAAAATTTTAAATGACATCCTTTTTTGGATTTTGTAAATTGAATTTCATGACACCAATAGAAATTTGAAGTTTCTTCCCGGCTAGAAAAAGGGAGTTAATGAATCTTTTTTTTTTGTGAATGAAGTGAATGAAGAATTAAATTTATATTATATATCCAGCTGAACCCCCCACCCCTCCTGTACATTGGTGCGGGCAGATGAATGTACATCAGGGAAGTGTGTCATGCAGCAATGACGTGCTGATTTGCAGAAAAACTAGTAACGTGTGCATGTAGTAACGTGTGCGTGTAGTAACGTGTGCGTGTAGTAACGTGTGCGTGTAGTAACGTGTGCGTGTAGTGACGTGTTGTCATGTGACAGAGCGACGTGTGCGTGATGGCAAGAGCGGCCACCGCAAGGCCGACGCCAGGGCGCGCAAGTCCGCCTCCGCTGCCGCCGCTCGTCGCCCTGCGGCGGCAGAGAAGAAAGCCACCGCCGTGGACGACGCCCCCCTGGACATCCCCCATGCTGCCCCCCAACCCCCTGACATCCCTGCCCCCCTCACTCAGGACGCCCCCACCTCCATGAAGACCGTGAGTACTCATATTAATTGCTATGTGAACTATATACCATGCTAACTAATGCTATATGAACTATATACCATGTTAATTAATGCTATATGAACTATATACCATGTTAACTAATGCTATGTAAACTATATGCCATGTTAATTAATGCTATATGAACTATATACCATGTTAACTAATGCTATGTGAACTATATACCATGCTAATTAATGCTATATAAACTATATACCATGTTAATTAATGCTATATTGTGTCGTGCTGAAGTTTAATGGAGTCTAATATGTGTCGTGCTGGAGTCTGCTACAATTCTTTATCGTACAGAATAACTCATCAAAAAGGATTAAACAGTTCTACCTTCACCAGAATATCATCAGGTTGCCTGTTCCTCTGTCTTTAACTGTCTTTATCTGTCAACAGAGAGGTAGCGCTAATAGACGGCCTCCAGCCAAGTACCTGTCTCCTCCGTCTCAACCTCCGTCAACGTCCCTGTCAACCGCCAGACAGTTGAGGCCTGTCAATCAGCTGACGCTGGCCACCAAGTCTGTCAAGGTCTGTCTCCCTGTCAAAAGATCTGTCAACCATCACGTCACCAGCAGCAGCAGCTGCAGTAACAACGCTGCGGTCAGCAAACGAACTTCCCACAAGGCGACGGTGATCAACAGCAACGCTGCCGTTAACAATAACAACAGCAATAGCAGCGATGTCAATAACAGCAATGGCCCTCGTATTAACCTCACTAAAATAACCACAGCAAACCTCCCCTCATTAGTTCAACTCGCGTCGTGCAGTTATAACCCCACGAAAGTTAAACCCACAACACAAAGTCCAACCAGAACCAACCCCACGTCTGTTAATCCCACCAGAGTACACCTCGCAGCAGTTAACCCCTCCAAAACCAACCCCACAACACTTAACCCCTCTAGAGTTAACCCCACGGAAGGTTCCAGCATTCCAGGCTCTATAATTAAAACTAAAACTGTGGCGGGCGCCAGAAATAAAGGCGACGTTTCTCCCTCTGCAGCGGCCGCAGTCAAGGCCAAGGCGACGTTGTTGGCCACAAGAACTGTCAACAAAGACGCGAGCCTCGCCAAGGCCTTCAAGAAGATTCTCCGCGATAAAGGCGGCGCCTTATAACACTCCTTTAATTAGGCACAATTAAGCGCTCTTATTTATGTATATAAATCAGCTTGTAAGTCCCGCTCGTTCCTAATAACTTTAATACATAATTGTTAGCAATGAACTTTTCCGTTATCAATTTTATTGTTGTTAGTGGAGGCAAGACTTGTACAAGACCTTTGCATTGGAAGCTCTCATGCTCAGTGGACGTTATCCGAGTCTTGAAGACTTGATGAAGACATCACGCTATTGATGTCTTGAAGACTTGATGCAGACATCACGATATTGATGTCTTGAAGACTTGATGCAGACATCACGCTATTGATGTCTTGAAGACTTGATGCAGACATCGCGCTATTGATGTCTTGAAGACTTGATGCAGACATCGCGCTATTGATGTCTTGAAGACTTGATGCAGACATCGCGCTGTCCATGTCTGCAGAGCGCCAAGAAGACATCGCACGAAATATTATGTACCTATGCATCAACAGTTCACCTTCATTTAGTTGTCAAATGCAGATAATTTGAATTTGTTGCAATTGTGCATTATATCACCCGCCACCCTCACCTGTCACCTCTTACCCGTTTCCCGTCACCCGTCACCCCTCATCCGTCTCCCCTCACCTGTCATCATTTACCCTTCACCTGTCACCACCGCCGCCGTAACGGGTTATAGACCGTCTCATCCG